AACTCTCTGATGAAGCAGGTACTTCAGGTCTGAGGGCAGACAACATAAACTCTGTGTTAAAGTTCTTCTAACTAAACTGCTTCTAACCCTAGGAATGGGTGTAATTAATAACCTCAGTAGCAGCTCTGTTTCTGCTGGACCCCAGGGTAGATTTCTTAGGTTGAGGCACTGCCTCTGGTTGGGGTACTTTTCCTCTGCAAAAGGAATTCAGCTCTACTAAGGCTGAATCAGAAACAGCAGCAGAACAATGTGCTTTCTGTCTGAAAACGTACCCAAGGCTCTGTTTAAATATCCATAATTCAAGCAGTCGGTCCAAATAATATATTCACTAATTTGTCTGTAGGTTCCAGAAAACAATACCATTCCTCTCCCCGCTATCCTCTGCTAAATCTTGCTACTTTGTTCTAATCACCTGGACTGCTGCTCTATCAATTACACAGAAAAAATAAATTTGCTCCATCACAGCAAAGAATATTACCCTTAAGTATCAAGGTCCAAAAGAAAGCAAAAGAAACAAATTAACAAACAAACAAAAAATACCACATGGTGATAATAAAAAAAGGACATAGTTTTAGAAAGGAAAAAACATGTTTCTTATTACCCTCCTGGGGACAAGGTCTCCTCAGTCCCACAATATAACCATACAGCTTTATCCTTCACAGCCTAAATTCCCAGTATATTTATACTTGGCAGTTTATTACTCTTTATTTAATACTCGGCCTAAAAAGTCTTAGAATCCAAAGCCATGCAATAACACACAGTAAGTAATATCCATATGTTACCTTTTGGGCCAAAAAGAAAAGGCATCACAACATAGACATCACAAGTGCTATGCTGTCATTATGTCAAGCGTGCTGTTGCAAACACGAAAAAATATACATTAAAGAGACAAAGGTCACATGCACACTGACGGAAATGAAGCACTGCACAGTAGTTCCCTGCTCTCTACTGTAGGAAAGAGCAGGGCATTTCCAAGCTCCTTGTTACTCTGCCCCTCACAGAGCAGCTCTGCAGCAGAGAGGATGAGATGTTGATGCTCACAGTGCCTGGCTCTACTTTGCTATTGGCACTGGCCACCCCTCTTGCAGAAGAGCTTTGCACCAAAAGAGCTTACACTTAGCCACATGTTCCCTTTTGCCACCTCTGCTATGTGGAAGAAAACCTTTGGCAGATAAATGGACAAAGCAGGTGAGGGCAGAAATATCTGGATTATGATAGGGGAAGTGGTGCCAAAGCTCAAATCCTGTAACAGAGGGTTACCAGAAAACCAAGTTTTAAAACCTGCAGCCTTTAAACTATGGTGTCATCCAGCTGCTACCTTAAAGGTGCATCTGTTTTACTGCATTGCAGGGTTCTTGTTGGGTGTGAATTTGTTTTGCATCTATACTTGGAGTCTTACAGTATTGCTCAAGCTCTGATTCAATCAAAAGTTTCCCTCCTGAGGAAGTCATGCCCAGAGCAGCACCCAGCTCGCCCCACTTGTACTGGTGGCACAAGACCCTCCTGCAGTTAACAGTCTAGAGATATGTAGTGCAGGTCTAGAATGAGCAACTCATGAAAACTTTGATCCTGGAAGCATAACAGATCACTGCAAATCAAAGTCTGATTCTTTTCACTTTGTGCCCATCATTCAGTAACAAAAACCCTAACCTTTCCCAGGAAAATCATGTCAAACTCCTGTTAACATGTTAAACAGGCCTTTTGATTCCTTATTTGTCTAAAAACAACACTAAAATGCCAACTTGACACTTATTTACCATGACCTGGAAGTTTCACAGCACTTCAAATTTTTACCAGAGAGAACATCAATAAATCAGAAAATAATCTCTAGTGTATTTTACATACTGCTAATCAAGAACTCAGTGAGGAAAATTTACTGTTCAAAATCTATAACCAAAGTTACAGTTTTTGACAGTGCTGGACTGCTGACTTTAAAAACTTAACATGATAGCCTCACTCTGTAGCCTCACTCATTTTATTCAGACACCATGACGCCTAAATAGGAAAAAGAAACAGGCTTTCATGGTAGTATAAGGAATCACAAGGGTACAGCAAAAGAGATGGTATATGATCATTTAAAGCACAGAGATCCCACACAACTTGTATATGCATGTAAATGTCCAGCAAATATTCCTGTATTCTCTGTTTGATATGGTATCCTGCTAAGCATATTCCAATGTTGTTGTCCTGTATTTCCATGCGAATGCACAGTTTAATGAGCTTGGCTGCTCCCCTTCCTCCCCATACGCAGAGACTTTCTCTCCATCCATGTGGAGTCCTGGAGTTTCAAGAAACAGTTGCAAGAAAACACAAGAGAATCATAATCAGCAGCAACTTTACTAACGTAAAAAATGCAGGTTCAACAGATGCCCTGCCCTATTGTGGAGTAAAATTTACTTGTCAAGAAAAACATAACTTCTGCCAATCTGAGTGGAACCAAAGGGAACCTTCTGAGGACTTCTACAAAGATATATTAATAATTTAGTTCTCTAAGTTCATTTGCTCTAAGCAAATGAACTCCTATAGTTTGTATTTGTTTACCCAGATAAACCTGTCAGATTAAATGTCTGCATTTACATTTATATCTCTGTAATATGACTTATGCATATGCATGTATTAGTAAGTTCTCTTTCTCTTCTATTAAGCTTGGAACTGGTCTTTGGGGAACTCATTAGCTACAGTGAGTTTCCCAGGGACTTGATGTGACTGTACTAGAATTGCTATTGTCTGGTACCTTCCCAAAAAGACTGTGATTTTTCCTAAGCACTTATGGTTCAACTGTCAACTATTTGTCCAATAGCAGCGAGCATTTTTCCCACCAAGCCAAACTAGTGAAATTATCACCACTACTATCGGTTTATTCAAGACAGAGCCATTAAGTAAGCACATTTCACTAGAGGGAATTGCTGAAGTACTTCAGTATCGTTCTTCTTTGCCCTGACAATTCCATTTCAACTTACTTCTCTGTTTTCAAAGCAGATTTCGTTTTGGCTTGTTTTATAACTTCTTTGGGGTGGCAATGTCATTGACTCCTGGTGCTGATGTGAGAAGACAAAAAGGAGTCCACAGCTTGGTCAGAACACACAGTTCTGTGACAAATAACCTCAGTTAGAGGTTAAAATGCAGTGAGAGAGCATGTGCATCACCATCCTCATCACCCTCCTGTCCCACCACTATCCCCATCCCCCGTGTCCTATCACTGTCTCCATCACTTCCCATCCCACCACCATCATGATGATCCCATGTCCCACCACCATCCTTATCACCTCCCATCCCACCATCATATCCACTACCACATCCCATCACTATCCTCATCACCTACCATCCCATCTCCACCCTGAGCACCCTACCTCCCATCACCATTCCCATCACCTCCCATTCCACCACCATTCTCATCACCCCATCCTGCCACAATCCCATCACCATTCCCTCATCCCATCCCACCTACCATCAGGATCACCCCATTTCCCACCACCAGTCCTACCACCCCTAGTCCCACCTCCACCATCCCTCCATCCCACCCCATCCCCTCCACTGCCCCCATCACCCCACTACTCCCTCCCGAGCCTGGGCCGCAGCAGCCCTCTCAGTTCACCCATGCTCAGGGCCACGCAGGCGATGGCCGTAGCCGCTCTCCCCGTGCCCCAGGCGGGGAGCTGCACCGCGCAGGGTGTGCAAGTCTGCGTGGGGCCGGGGTGGACCAGGAGCTGCCCCCAAGAGGCAGAGAGGCGGCGGGCGGGGGAAGCCCTCGGGTGCGGGGCGTTTTCTAAACGCGCCCCGTCGCCGCA